AACCAAATTAACTGGCAAGCCACATGGCTATATATTAACAACAATCAAAAAATTTTTAATTTCTTACATAGTTTTTAATCATCTACTCTTAAGTTCTTTAGAATTAAAATTTTACTAAATGAACTTTCTGCTCCATACACTTTACACAAATGTTATCATTCATATTTATCTACCTGTTATCAATATCAACACATCAGCTCTTATCTTCATTAGACAACTTGTCCATCTGATTAACTATTAAATAATCTTATAAATGAATTATTACAATATATTCTTAATATTACTACTCCTAATACTACTTCAAAAATTATAACTAACCTATATCATCAAATCAAACAACTAAACTGCATGTTCAGTCACAATATACCAGACCTACCTTCAATTTTCTCAACTCTATCAGGCTTAGTACCAAATAAAATTATTAATATAGTCACAGACTTATTATTTACAAAAATATCTATAATACTTATTACTAAATTCTTACTTTATCTTAATCAACAAATTTATTACAAAATTTGGATTTCTTACTGTATTTTAAGATTTACAATTCATCTTTCTACTTCTAATTTATTCTTTAATTTTATTTCACAATTAGTACAAACTTCTTTTTTTAATACTATTAGCTTTAAGATTAATTCTTAGTATATACAATAGATTAAATATTAAACTAATCTCTTATATATTATTACTAATACCCAAATCTAGGTGAGTCTTGGCCACTCCAGTTGGTTTAGGTCACAGATAAATTAGTCTAAACTTCTATTCTTGCTATAATATTTTAAAAGTAGATTTAAACTTTATATAAAAAAATCTCAGTTAAATATTCAATAAAGATAGAGACATTGCCTTACTATTAATATTATAAATAAATAAAAAATAATAAATAAAAATGACTTGAGACACTTAATTAGTAAACTTTATGATTTTTAACTTCTGTTTTAGTAGAATGAATAGGAAGTTAATTAACAGCAACCATAATATTTAAATTAACCTTTATACTTATCTAAATTAAAACAAAAAAATAATTTTGATGATTTTAATTCTTTGCAAACTTAGAATGCAGTTTTAAAATAAGCTAAAAAATTGATGTTGATTAGTACTAATGCATAAGTAATTGCAGTTTCTAATAAATTAATGAAATAGTCTAAAAGGCTTACAAAATTAACATGAAATAAGTTCCTACTAGAAGGCCTGCAAATTGCCTATTTTTAAAGCCCAGCTTGGCCTGCATTTAGAGTTAAAATTTTTTTTCTGGTCTGGCCTAGCCTGCATTTAGAGTTACTATTTTTTCTATCCTAGCCTGGTCTGTATATATTAAATTTATTCTTCAGCCTAGCCTAGCCTGGCTTACAAAAATTTCTTATATAATTTTAAAAAATTTTAGGTCTGCACTGGTCTACAATTATAAAATTTTGCAAATTTTTTGGCCTAACCCAGCCCACAATTATAAAATTTTGCTTCAGGCCTGGTCTGGCTTGCAAAATTTTGCAGGCCAGACTGCAGGACCTAATGCAAACCTTTAGTCCCTACAGGCTATAATTGCTGCTTTCAAAGAGATCAGAAATGTAAGATATTAATAATCTTTATTGTAGTTTCAAAAAAAGACTAATAAGTTATCAAAATAATTATGAAAATATGATTTATAATGCATTATTCTGAATTAGCTTGATTTCCAGTTTTAAATAAGATAACAAAAATGTGATACTAATTATTACAATTTAATTTTGTAATTTGGTTTTTTTTTCTTTAGAATTGCATATATTATGCAGATTCTCATTCAAGACTTCTTTTTTGAATTTAAATTAATTATTATATCTTTAGTGATTTTATTGGTAAGACTGTTTATAAAAAAAGATTGTTAGTAATACTATAGGCATTTTCTAATAATAATAAGTCTTGAAGTTATAATTCAGATACGTATCTGTTAATCAAAATTGCAAAATTTTAATTATAATAGAAGTGAATCTATAAGAATTTTAAAAATATAACATAAATAAACCTTGAAACTAATATTAAAACTCTACACTCTAAACTCATAAATATAGCACTATTATGTTCTATATAAATTAACATTAGATTCAATATTTAAATATGAAACTGATATTTAGAATCAGACAAGAGCTTAAATTATATTGAATTCAAATACAATATCAAATTATCTATAATGTATTTTCTATATAATAATTGAAAAAAGAATTAATCAAAAATATTAAAGGCATATCAAAACTGTTATTTATTTATTATTATTATTCTTCTGTAACAAATCTTTGATAAGGAATAAACATCTTATATTTATTTTTTTTAATTTAAACTCATTTTAATAGTTGCTATGATTATGTTCTAGTTGTATAATCTCAATCTAATTACTTCTTATTTGGACATGTCTAGGCATTATAGCCTTGTTGACTGCAAACACTACATTGTCTTTGCATATTTCGATAACTTAAATCAATTTACTACATGGATAGTGAAACTAACACTATGCCATTACTTGATTCTGTCAAAATATAAACTACTTGTATTAGTAAGAATATATTAGAATAATTTATTATGTTCATTATTTCAACTATAATATAATAAACTAGTACCTGGTTTTACTATATTTGCTTCTTCTTATATATATTTATAACTTGTAACTGTAGTTAAATATTTTTTACCATTGCTATTGTTGAAACCTATATAAACAAACATTGTCAGTAATAAGTATAAATATATTAAACATAGATTAATTTTTAACTGTTGCTTAACTTACATTGATTATACAAATCACAAATAAGTAACAGATTAAAAACATATATTGATTAATATTGATGTTTAAATTTAATAACCTATCTTTTGGTTTTATCATTTTTATCAATATCCAAAAGCTTTTTTTCTTTACAGATTTTATTATTATGATCTTTTGCTTATATACCTTACACTTATATTGAGTTTTGGTATTAAAATTTTCTATTACAGTTGTAATTCTTTTTGAATTAGATTTTTTAGAATAACCTTTTGGTCTTTATTTAATAAAATTTTGAATTATCTTACTATAATTCTCACAGTTAAAATCACTATTTATATTATCATTATTAATTATTCTTTTCTGAATTAATGAAAAAAACTAAGAAGCTCATTATAAATATCATTGTTGTTATTCTTAATTGGATTAACTATTATCTTTCTTTCCAATCCTCAAAGTTTACCAAATTTAAAATAACTTTAGATTTTTTATTAGTCAATTGTCCTGAAACAACCTTGTTTGCGAACTCTTCAGTTCAATTAATACCAAGCTCAAATGAATATAAAAATCATGTTGACAAGAGATGTGTCTTTAACATTGGTACTAGTGTACCTAAAGAAACAACTACAAATTTATTATTTAATATATCAGTTTCCTGTAATCTGTTCTTATACCAGTGCCTATTCACTAATTCTATATGAAATTTTGCAGTTAAGGTTAAGGTTATTATATGATAAAAATGATGACATTGATAGCTATAAGATTTGCTTATCATATACATACAAAGAAAAGTACCATTGTTCAAAAAATATAAAAAATAAGAGGTGCCAGGATTTGCTAAATACAAAACATTCCATGCTTCAAGAATTGTTGAAGAATCAGTCATAAATGAGCTTAGTTGTACTTTTAAGCAGTCAAATAAGTTATCAATGCACTAATCTGATTCATTAACCTCTTAAAAAAAATATCCAAATTAATAATCTCTTATCAAATTAAAAGAATACCAATTTAATTTTTAGTTTATATAATACATATTAAATCAATAAGATAAAGAAAAATAATACACAATAAGTTAAATTAATGTGCATTAGGTTCATATAAATTTTAAAAAATAAAAAAAGAAGAAAATAATATTATAATTAATTTAATGTTTACTAGTTTATACAAATTTTGAAAAAAGAGAAAGATAAGATTATTTAAATGCAGAATTAAATTGGTTTGGCTTAAGCAGAAATAATATTACAAAAAACTTACTTTTTCTTTAGATAATATAACTTCAAAATTAATTTTCATAGCATGATAGTGAAGACTTAAGTTCATTTGCTTCTTCTGTTTCTTTATTATATTAGGAATCATGAATTCATTAAGCTGTCTTGCAACAGGTTCAAAAATAGTATTTACTAGATTTTGTGATCTTATTTGTAGCATAACTTGCTTTCAGTTTACAAATTCACAATAGTTATTCTCTTTCTGGTACCTTTCTTCTAAAGTTTCAAATAATTCACATAATAAAAGATTTGAAGTACCAAAAAGGCATTTTAGAGTTGAGTTTTTGCTCTTGTTATGAAAGGTTAATTGTATATTGATGGTAAAATGCTTATTGGTAAATACACATGCTTAAAATTAAGTATTAGATTCTAATGATCTTATCAAATAATCTTTTGCTTGTAAATAATCTTATAACAACTTTTTTTATATTTAATAAATAAAATTAATAATTACTTTTAATACAAATTTTCATAATTTATTATTAACTTTAAATAACTAATACAAAATCTTTATAACATAATAAATTATTCATTCACCTTTTAGAAAACTTTTCTTCAGTTATACTGTTTCTCATTATATAAAAATTATTTATAAAATTAGTAAAATTTAAACCTAATATTCCTTTTAGATTTTTTGGTAAGTTTTGACTTATGTGCCAAATACAGTGCATATAGAATGTATCAGAAAATTGAGCAATAATGGTACCATTAACTGCAGAGTTACTATCTGTCACAAAAACCTTCAGTTGCATCCTTAACACATTTGAAAACCTACTTATACAAAGATGATATCTTATTATTAACAATTGCTTGAGCCATAATTCATGTTTTAAAATTGTTATCTAAAGTAACAAAAATTGATAAAGATTAATCATAGCAGTTGGTTTTGCATATGTTATCATGATTATTATGTTATGATAACATAACTATGATATTTGCTATTCTGAGCTTATTTAAAATAGATGAGTTAGAAAAAAAATAATAGGATCAATTTTCATCAAAAACACCTAATGAGGATCTTTAATTTTTTTCTTATACAATCTTTTTAACAATAACCTTGTATCATTTTTCTCTAGTTCAGAATTATAATGAAATCTACTAATGGCATTATAGAGGTCTGGTCTATGTATCCTAGTTTTGTATTTCTTCTGAATTATTTGATATTGTATTGTTGCATTTGCTTTTGCCACAACAGTCAAGAAATGAATTTCTTTAAGAATTTTTTTTGGTAGCTTTCTTAACATTAGATCAAAATGTTTTGTTAATAGATAAACTTCATGACCAATATGTTTATTATTTAAGGCTGTAACTTCAAGAAAATTTTTATTTTTTTTGAGCCAAATATTTACTTTTTATAGGCATTCTATTCAACAAGACATCCCACTTAATTGCTTTAAAGGTTTTTCAGAATAATAACATAAGTATGTCTGTTTTAATATTTTTTGTATTATTGCATCTTTTTTTCTACTGCTATTGATTCAAATTTCATGACCTTTAGCTGCAGCATACTTCTTCATAAAACTCAGCACTTAACACCAGTATTAAAATGTTTTATTAACAAAAAGATCTGAAATACTTTCATTACTATTAAAGCTAAAAGATTAGTGAATTAAAAATAATTAATCATTATACTATAATAATTAATTAACAAATATTCTAACTTACCTATCTGTTTTAGAAAAATCTTCTGTACTGTTATACTCTATTAACACCTCAAGTTCAATATTTGACTCTGACTCATCCATAATTAAACAAATATTGCAAATTATAAAAAAATAATATTTGATTTATAAAAAAGATATAGTAATTTAATCCAAGATATAGTAATTTGAGCCAAAGTACAGTTATTTAAGCCAAGATACAGTGTTACTTAAAAATAAAATATTTAAAGCAACAAATTAAATTGATTTAAAGTCTAAACTTTCTGCTTAGTATTGTGTAAAATTTACTTTTGTTTTTTTAATCAAGTAATAAGTAATTTAATATTTTAATAGTCCTGTTTTATCAGTTTTCTATATATATATATTTTTTTTACTTTTTTTTTTTTGTTTTTACTCTTCACTTCTTTTTTCTTGTTTTCATTTCATTTTTTTTTTTTCTTAGTTTATTGTTAGCTTTTTTTTTTGTAATAGCTTTTGGTTTGTCTTAATTTTTTTTTTAGTTTCTTTGTTCCTTTTTGGTTGATACTTTTTTTTTTTATTCACTTTAGTTATGTCTTAGATTTTTTAGACTTGATTTGGCTTTACTTATACTAAGAATTTTAAACTAAAGATTTTAAATAAAAGGTCATTATAATCTTAGAACTAGTTATTTTACTTTAATACTTACTGTACATATATATTGTTATCCTATATCTACTTCTTTTAAGATAGTAGGTAACTAGAGCGACCTTAGACAGTGAACACTTTTT